ACACACACAGTGACACATACACTCACACACTATGACATATATGCACGCATACACACATACGAACAAACACACTCACGCACACACACAGGCACATAACACGTAACGCACACACACTGGCATATACACAAACACATCACAGAATAACACCCGGTTTCACAAGACATCCACAGCATATTTTACTTATATTAAATTATAAGTACGTTACAAAACATTACGAAAAACAAGTTCATCCGAACATAATATTATAGTCGTACCTGACCGTCCGAATCCTTTCTCAATAATATGCCAGCATAACATAGACACACGCACACACAGAGACAGCACACGACGAACACGCATGCTTGATTCAGAGCCGGCTGGAAGACACAGGAACGCACACGCAAATCCAGCTTGGCGCGACGCTACACCACGCTACTATGGTTGCCCCTGACAACAGGGTACACAATGGACGCCGGCGCACGCACACACACCACGCACACACACACAGGCCTTGCGGTGTAGAGAGTATGCCATTGTGAGGTCTGGAACAGGGGCGGCGCAGTTAGTATTTGTAGTGGTGGTCGTTGGTGCGTGTAGTTGGCCCAGTTATGTTTCGGATACTGGGCGGGTGTCAGGTGGAGAGAGGGGAGGGGGAGGGAGTGGTGGAGAGAGAGAGAGAGGGGAAGGGGATGGGGAGGTTGGGGGGGGGGCGGGTACAGTATGGTCCAACCCGAGCCAACAATCCCAAAGACAACCATGTGTACAAGCGACCACGTCTTACACCCCCTCTCCCTTTTTTAGAGTTTTTTAAAGTATCAAAATGACCCTGGGAAGGACATTCATTTGTCTCTAACATTCACTTGTCTCTAACACAATAACATTCTTTAACAATGGGTGGCGGTCTTGGCCAATAACGACTGAAGATTGCATTGCGTTAGTTTAATAAGAAAATCCGTTTTCAGTTCTGAAATTCGAAAATATGTATGTCAAAGTATATGGATAAAAGAAAAATCAGTTTATTTTCTTTCCATCTGAATGTGTTTTTTTCTTTGCTTTGTTTAATTGGGTTTTGCATAATTTTATTGGCCTTCATTTCATTTTTATATCTAAAAATGATTTCATTCCATTCTTTCTTAATGGGAAGGTGTCTGTGTGTGTATGTGTGTGTGTGTGTGTGTGTGTGTGTGTGTGTGTGTGTGTGTGT